CTTCTTCTTCTTCTTCTTCTTCTTCTTCTTCTTCTTCTTCTTCTTCTTCTTCTTCTTCTTCTTCTTCTTCTTCTTCTTCTTCTTCTTCTGAAATATCATCATACTTTTGGTGGGATGGGACACATTCATTTGACCCCACATTACACAATTTATGGCACTATACTAGCCATGTAGCTGTTACTAACAGCATTCAATAAGAATACTCTCAAGCTAATTTATAATATCATACTGAAGGTTTTCTTGTGTTGTAGGGACTACAAATATGGAGCCCATTCAGACCAGACAACAATTGGTCAATGGTGCTTTGGTCAAAATGATTGTAATGGATTCCCAGCCTTTTTCTGTGGTTGATGACGCTGGCTTCAGACAGTTTGTCGGTATTTTAGACCCAACCTACATAATCCCCACCAGGAAGGCTTTAAAGGAAATGGTGAAAAAAGTTCCATGCAGAAAAGGAAAAGGCGAAGGCAGAACTTGAGAAGGCCGCATAAGTGAGTTTGACAAGTGACATGTGGACATCCATTCATATGGATACATATTTGGCAGTCACTTGCCATTTTGTTAATGAGCAGGACAAACTGTCCACAGTGCTGCTGGGAGTGGGCCATTTTCCCAAGTCCCACACTGCATAAAACATAGCTGAGGTGAAGAGGGCTCTGATGGAGGAGTGGGGCATTCAAAACAAAGTCTGATGCCTTGTCACTGATGCTGCACCAAATATGCTATTATGTGCAAAAATATTGAAAACGCGCAACACAAAGTGTATTGCACATTCAATAAACCTGATAGTAAAGAAATCCATTGATCTTGTTTGTGTCCATTGATCGCACACCCGGGCTGGAGATCAGGGAAAAAGCAAGAAAAATAATTGGTTATTTTAGGTCCAGCACAATGGCAAAGGAGACGCTCTGCCAAATACAGCAGCAGATGGGTCGGCCCAACCTAAAACTGCTGCAAGCGGTCGAAACCTGTTGGAACAGCACTTATACCAAGCTGCAGCATTTATCTGTGGAGAGAGAGCCAGTTAGTGCTGCCCTGGTCTCACTGAAGACCGACATTATACCCATCACTGCCACAGAGAACAATTCAGTTCAGGAGTGTCTGGGAGTACTTTCAACATTTTACAAAGCAACTGTGGAACTGTCAGAAGAGCAAATAGTGTCAGGGTCAAAGGTCATCCCACTTGTTTGCATGTTGCGGTACACAATTTCAAGAAAACAACCTAATCTTAAAGATGAGAAAGCTCTCCAGCTGTGCATCAACCTCACAAGGAGGCTGAGTGAGTCGTTATCTCTTCTTGAGACAATGAGCATGATGAGTGTAGCAACACTGCTAGATCCTAGGTTTAAGGCCATCGGATTCTGCAGCCAGACCAATGCWGAAGCTGCAGTGAAACGTCTGACTGCAGAATGTGCCAACATCATTGGAGATGAACCAGTCCCTCCTGTCCCACTCACGTCCTCAGAGCCAGAGGCAGCAGCTGGTCCTTCAACCCATTCAGGTACAATTAGCCTGAAGTACATAACATGATGTACTTTCTGTACATCTTAATCCTAAAATGTATTTGAAATTACTGATGAGATTAAAATACTGTATATGAATGTAATGTCATAAATCTGATAATGACAGTTCTGTTTATTATAAATTTTGAAAACAAAAAAGAAGTTAACATGATATAAGAAATTGTGTTGCTGATTTATTTGATCACTATTTTTAGGTGATGGTCTGTGGGATCTGCTGGACAGACATGTAGTGGAGAGGCAGGTGAGGAATGCCACTGCAGATGCCACAGCGCAGGTGCAGAGATATATGGCAGATCCTTTAATTCCACGCACAAAGGATCCACTCCATTTCTAGGCATCTAGAAAGACTGTTTATCCCCACCTGTACCAGCTTGCACTGCAGTTTCTGTGCACTCCAGCATCTTCCGTTCCATGTGAAAGGATCATCTCCAAGGCAGGAGAAATTGTAGACTCAATCCTCGGACTGTGGAACAAATCCTTTTCTTATATAAAAATCAAATAAAATAATCTTATGTCTTATGTATTTATTTTAAAAGTTCATGAGCACTTCCACCACCACACACACAAATAAAAAAATACCAAAAAAATACTTTAAAGAAAGTCACACCATGGCACAATTTAAGTATTCATAATAAACCATAAACAACCATGACTTTATTTATTCATTCACACACACACAAAACAAAAATACATGTTCAATGCAGCACAGTGAAAACCTGCAATCATACAGAAATGTTTCCTAACAAATGAACAAACAGCCGTCAACTCCATCATGATGAAGCTTCGTTTTGTGTTGCTTCAAGCTGCTCTTCATACTTTTTACCATATGATTGCACCAAAGAGGACAGTATTGAAAAGATTAGAGTAATGAATCATTTTCCAAAGCAAGCTTCAGTGCTTCAGAAAGCTTCATTTGCCCATCACTAATAAAAAGGGAGCAGCCTCGCGCTGAGGCTGCACTGCATAGAGGCGCGTACCCCAGGTGGTGGATAGGGGGGATCCCTGCTGTGTAGGGGTGTGCCTGAATAAGCTGAAAGGTGAATAGGGTGCCGTGAACCAAAAGCAGCCGGGCAGGTGGGGCTCGTTAGCCTTGGCAGGCAACCGCCTAGGAGAAGGAAAACTCTGATATAAAACCCGGGTATTGTCAACACTCGTTAGCCGTCTACCCCTGGTGGATGGCAAGTTGACAGAATTTTAAGATGAGCGGACAAGGGACTGGCCCCCAGTACCCGGCAAAAGGGGGTTCTAAAATCTCCGGGGACCCAGCCTGTGGCGCCGTGGGTGCGGGTGCCACAGGTGGTCTTACAACCGTGCCTCTGGTCTATCTGGTGGGGAACCAGGCTGGGCAGGCCAGTACAGTGACTGGAACAACTCTTACTCTGGCTTCGGAGCCTGATACTTATGTGTTGGGCTCTGGACAACCGGAGGACTTAGTGCCTGGGGACTCGGTGATGGCAAGGCATTCTGCCTTTGCTGATGCTGGGTCTACAAGGAGTACTCAGCACAAGGGTGGCCCCTTGATTGCAACTCTTCGGGGAGCGGTCGGGACCGCACAAGTGCTTGAGTGTTTAAGTGATGAGGACACCGACATGCTGTTGGGGTCCTCTGATGGAGGAAAGGTCAAGGGGGGAGATGAACTCTCAGGAGATCTAGAGGGTCTCTCCCTTCAAGACCTTAAGAAAAAAAAGGAAGAAGAAGAGGAAGAAGAAGAAATCTTCTTCCTGTTTGGTGGCTGGGAAGGGGGAGTTGGCAAAAGAGCCTTCCAAAGGCTCGGATGCTGACCACCCTAAACCCAGCACATCGAAAACCAGTGCTGGAGATGGAGCAGGGTCTTCTTCTCGTAAGAGGAAGAGGGTTACAGTCTCGACTCCAGGTAGTGCCCAGGCCCCGAAAAAACATCGCAACAGGCCTTCAAGTCGGGTCCATGGACTTGGTAAACAGTATATG